TTCCTTCTCCCATGAGCTTTCACTGTGCTATTTCTGCCTGGCCACAAAAGCAAAGGGGCTAGCCTACCACAGACCAAAACCTCTGCAAATGTGACCTGAAATAAACATTTCCTTCTTTACTGTGATTCTCAGTAAACACAGGCTTATGATCAGAAGATCAAATCTTAAAATTTAGATCTGAAAGTGTTCAACATTAAGGAAATGGGTTAGATTTTTCCCAACATTAGGAAGAACACTGTTCTCCTGTTTTATATGATCAAAAATGTAGACTGGCGCAGGATGTGGTGGTGCATGCCTGTAATACCAGCACTGAAGAGCTGAGCCAGGAAGATCACAAGTCTGAGCCCATTCTGGACAATCCAGTGTGTGTGTGTGTGTGTGTGTGTGTGTGTCTGTGTGTGTCTGTGTGTGTCTGTCTCTCTCTCTCTCTCTCTCTCTCTCTCTCTCTCTCTCTCTCACACACACGATTATTATACATGAGAACCAAAAGAACTACAATTCTGGAGACAGAGTCTTACAATCTAAGTTCAGAATGGCCTTGAACTCACTACATAACCCAGTCTGTCCTCACATTTTTTTCAATTCTCCTGCTTCAGCCTCCAAAGTGCTGGAATTACACACATACCCTACTATCTAAATTCTGACCATGCGGTTATTATTTTCATGTTATTATATGGTTATAATTTTATTACCATAACTCCAGTACTATCGTGAGCTCCCAGAAGATTCTCCACATTATCTGTAATTCCCAAAGTTCCCTACACTGTTCTACACCTGAAAGATCCTCCAGATCAGGATCACCTCCTTCCGGATGAGAATTAATCAGTTACTTAATATGAATGCATTTGGTGGTTTAGAACATATAAAACACGAAAGTATAAGATATGGTTTTCACCTTTTAAATGACAATTTTAGACTGAATGAGGCTACAAATAATAATTACTAAAGACAAAGAAGCAATTATAATACTGAATGCTTGGACAGAATTCACCAACAAGTGGTCGGAGATGTATGGTCTTTTCCATAGGCGTTGGGAAACTACTTTGTGTTCAACTGCAATTTTCTGACAGGCCACTAGATGGTGAAATTACTTTATAAAAGGTGTGGGAGAGTGGTGTATGCTTCAAGCCATCTCTTATTCTTTGCCTCTCCTTACTGGTTCATTATGCAGAAATACTATAGACTTTATTGTTGTGATGCTAGACACTGTACTAACAGCCTTAAGCATGCAGCAAAGGCTTTCTCTCACTGAGCTATACCCCCCAGTCCAAAATTTAGGAGAGATTTAAAAACTCCTTCACCTTAAAATTGAGAATAATGAATTCAGACAGGTTAAATGAATTCAGCAAGCCTCACAACTGGTTAATGCAATAATGCTAGTACTAGAGCCAAATTTTCCTCACTGGAACTGTGGGTTTTATGTTCTCTGAATTAGAAAAGTGCACGAATTTAATTGCAATTCACGTGGAAAATATTTTTATATGGGCAATTCACAAATAGCCACTCCCATCTTTTGGTAAAGCATCAGAGCAGTGACTTACTAAAATAAAACCTCAGCAAGGGGAAACACTATGGCTCAAAATCTCAGAAAAGTTGTACTTCAGTACTAAAAGATCACCAGATAATGAAGTTCTGTAGTTCCCAATGCTACGCAGGGTTAGCATGAACACTGACGCTGAAAGTGAGAAAATGACTAATCCTTACAAACTCCACTCTTCTCTCTTTCAACTCTAATCCATTTTTCTCTCCTCCTTTGTAACCCCCACGTAAGAGTGAAGATCTGCAACAATCACAGAGCCCAACGTACAAAATGGAACTTCACTATTTTCCCACATGCATAAAATAAAGCATGTCCAAAATCAGATGAGCAAGAAAGACACAGGTAGCACTACAGTAATCAGCTGAAAACTGCTCTATTTTGAAACAACAAAAAAAATCTTTAAATAATTCTTGAACACTTCAATTATTCTAACTACAGAAACTATGTAGAAACTACTTCAGATTTAAAATGTACATGGCTAAATTATTGTACTTTTATCTTCCTTTTGGTTTAAAGTAGAAATACAAACTAAAAACCATACATTATATTTATTTTAAGATATACCTAAAATTTTAGAAAAATACAATAATTTTGAAAAAGCATACTAATTTAAAAATCAATGTTATTGAAATTGACTAAAAACATTTTGAAAGCATTATATATTTTATTATAATTAGCTCAACTGTATAAATGGGCTTCACTGTAGAATTTCCATGTGTACATCATGCTACAATTGTAGCCATCTTCCCTACTCTCTCTTGCCTTCCCATCATGTCCCACCCTCTGGTCCTCTTCGCCTGAGTAATAGCAATATCCCTACTTTTGGATTTTTATTTTTAAAGTTTCTACAGGAGAGCATTTATAAGACCAAATTTCTCTAATAAAGACATCAGAATTATTATAGTCCCAGAAAGAGAAGTTTAAAGGAATAGAGAGACTCCTTGAGAATAGGATATTTGCTTATGAAAAAAAGTAATAAACCAAACTTTTCTCTTATAAATTTGACTGAGCAGAAAAATTCAGTATACTTTACCTGAAGATGCAAAGTTATGAGATTTTATATGTCCTGCTTTTCTAAACTCAAAATTTCTACATCAATCCAGCAGGGCAACGGAGACCATGGCCCAGTGAACTGCCACATCTCTGACACTCCACTGGAACCCAACACTGCATTTTAAAATGAAAATCAATGGGAAAATGGAGTTTGATATATACAAGATGGCTTTTCAGTATATTTTTCTGAAACATATCTATTCCAAATGTGCATGAATATCTGCATAAAAAGAACTTATTAGATGGAAATAGTAACTATGTGTTGCTCTTCTCTGAAAAATAACATGAAAATAAGCAATTTATATTCAAGTATGACTTATGCTTGTATTAAGAATAATCTAATTATAGTGAGATCTCAATTGATCTCAACAGGTTAAGCAAACAGAATCCAGAATTTCTCCCAAAAAGAACAGCCACAGAAATTTCTCCATTAAAAAAATGTCATTTAAGTGAAGTTTTAGATGAAGTACAAATTAAAATTTCCATTCAATTTCTGCTCAGGGGCAAGTAGAAAGCCTTAAACTAGGCATCTTTGGCTGCATCAACTATTTTTTATTTTTAAATTCCTTTAATCCTTTACAACAGCAAAGATACAAGGACAATATCAAGGTCCACGACCAGATGAACAGATGAAAATGTAGTATATATACACAATGAAATATTATTCTACATTTTCTTTAAAAGGCAGTAAATATCAATATTTATGACAACATGGATGAAACTGAAGGACACATTAAGAGAAATAAGCTAGGCACCAAAAGACAAAAACCACACAACCTGACATATATAGAGGCTAAACAGCTGAACTCAGGAAAGTTCAGTGGTAGCGGCCATGGGCTGTGGTTGGAGTAAGTGACAGGAAAGGACAAAATTTCTCAGTTCAACAGGAGAAATAAATTCAGGAGATCTACTGTACAACATAGTAAACAGTGACATAATAATGTATTATATTCTTGAAATATTTTTTGAAATATATTCTTGGATTATATTTCTGCTAAGATTTTAAGTATTCTTTATTATATAGATTTTTTAAATTATAATTAGCTCAAATTAAGCATCCTATAATGTACATATTTCAAAACAACATGTACACAATACAATTTTTATATGTCAGTTAAAAATAAATGTAAATAAAAGGAGAAACTCACATTTACTGGGGCTCTGTTTTCTAAAACACAAATGAGGTATATATAGTCTCTTAGGCGCTAGAATAGTTTCAAACTTTCACAAAAATATAACCACACAATCCATTCTTAAAATATTAAGTGTAAATGTAATAGGTAAAATAAACACTAGAATATACTCTGCTACAGCAGGCGTAGTGCTCACTGTTCCAGCACATATACTACAACTCATAGGTTAGGCAGAAAGGACTAGATCCCTGTCAATCCTTTCACACTACTTTCTCTTGAGTTTCATGGAATCCTCATAGGTCCCAAACACAGTATTTGAAAACCTTGCCACTACAGCAACAAATAATGGAAAGAATTCTCGAAGTGATTTTTCACTTTGGAAAATCTAAAGTGAGTTAAGTTTTACTTCAACTAACCAAAAACTGAAAGCAAACATGTAAGAATTCCAACCAAGTGACATTTCATTACATTAAAGTGAATACTAAACATACATACATATATATATATGAACACATATATATACATATATATGTATTTTGATATATAAATATAAAAATAAAAGCAAAAACAACAGATTATAAGAAATTTAAACACCATTAATTCTATAGTGTATTAGCTCTAAAAAGCAAGTCTTTTTTCACCACTACCAGGCACAAAAGGGAGCCAAGTAAGGAAGGTATATACAACTTTAGCCAAGAGAAGCTCCACCCTTTTTCTCCTATTCAATGAACTTCCTCAAGTTCCAGGGAGTCAGAGGCACCACACATAGATATAACTACACCATTTCCCCAAAGTTTAAGATAATAAAACCAACTTTAAAAATTGATGAGCTTGAGGTATAACTCCATGGTATAGAATATGCGTAGCATGTGTGAAGCCCTGTGCTTAACCCCCAACAGCACAAAAGGGGAGGAGGGGACCCACAAAGTTTTAAACCTAAGCTGTGTAATTCAGAAAGTACTAATTTTTTTTAGCAGACAAAAACTAAGAATAGTTTATTATCTTGATCTGCATCAGAAACTGATGTATGAATTTAGAAAGTTCTTTAATTTACTTCAGTCATATATGAAGCTGCACATCTTAACAGAATTTGGATCTACTTGTAAGTTAAAAACCAATTATTTTAAAATACACAAAATTTTGTAATTAAAATACTCATAATGGTACAAAAGTTCATTATTTTGATTAGCCAAGAAAAATTTCTTTTTAAAAAAACTAGTACACCTTCTAAAATGGAACATTAGTCTACAATATTCATTTGGGTATACTCTTACCTTTCTTCTGAGCTATATAATCGAGCAAGTCCAAAATCTGCAAGTTTTATCTGCCCTCTGGTGGAAATAAAGACAAAAGTGAACAAAAGGTGGTAACCACTCTGAACTGGTAACACATTCATATTTTATTTCTAGAACGCATCAGAAATATGCTCACACAGCAGTATTACTAAAGTTTTACAAGAAAAGATAGGTAATAATTAGTACTTTTCTTCAAATCTGCAGGTTCAACTGCAGATCTAAAATATTTGGGAGAAGAGAACTGCATGTGTACAGAACATGTGTAGATGTTTTCTTACATGATTCCCTAAACAATACAGATTATCAACTGTTCACAAAGCATTTACATCGTATGATAAGAAATGTAGAAATGACTTAAAAGTATAGGAGAGGAAGCACTTGGTCCTTTGCAAACCTTATATCAATTTGTATGCCTTGAGTATACACAGGTTTTGGCAAAGGGAAAAAGGGTTGTCTTGGAACCAATCCCTAAGGGATACTCAAGAGACTACTTTACTATTACTGTAACTATGATTATAACAGTACTAGAAAAATACTGGTTTAGGAACTGCTCAGTCTGTATTTTAAAAAGCTACTTCAATGAAAATAGCACGTGACTACTCAGGAATAAGAAAAACTATTAAATTCAAATTAACAGTGTTCAAGAACTAAATCAAATCATTTGTTTATTTTTAATATCTTGGTACAGGCTATCACTACGCAGTTTGGACTCATAGTGATCCTCCTATTTTCAGCCTCTCTAGCACTGGGATTATAGGCATGTACCACCATGCCGTCTTGATAGAGTGCTCAGTGTGCCTAGGGGCAGTGCTGGTTCTGTATGTGGAGCCTGGGCTCTAACCCCAGTCCCTGCACTTGCCTAAGCAGGCACTTAGTCTGCTGAGCTATCTCGTCAGTCCCAAATAAAATCATTTAAAAACTATGTTTATTTTCAGCATTTGGAAATATCAAGAATATCGGAGTATTTTCCACTCATTAAAATCAGAACCAGACAAGCTTCATTTAAACTAATGCCAATTACCACAGAAGTACTAGCATTAAGACTGAAAGATTTAACATACTCTTTATACATATGTCAAAAACAGGTTCATTTCAAAACACTGATGACTTTTAATTCTAAAGTTGATTTATAGTTCGATCTCCAGTGCCACCACCCCCCAAAAAAGCTAAAATTGATTTACAAATAAGCTAAATTCTTATTACTAATTATTTAAAGACCTATTCATATTGCTTGGAAGCGTACTAAAGAGAAAGGCAAACCAAGTTTACGTATGTATATCATAAACTATTCCTGGAAGTTAATTTAAGTATATTTAACACAGTTTTAGAGATAGCCCAAAGCTGAGTGTTACTGATGAAACAGTGAAACAGTTTTGAAGCAATGGACTACATTAAAAAAAAAAAAATCTTTCATGTATTTGTTTGTTTGCTTATTTATTTGGTAAAGGGTCTCACTACCCAGCTTAGATTAGTAGTGATCCTCCTGTCTCAGCCTCTCTAGCGCTGGGATTAGAGGTGTGCGCCACCATGCCCAGTTTTGGTGGCCGGCTCAGCGGAGGCAAGGCTGACATGATGTGTGGTACCAGGTATCAAACCGGGGTCCTTATACTTGCCAGACAGGGGCTTAGACAACTGGGCTATCTCTCCAGCCCACAATGAACTAAATTTTAATCACTTTCAATAGAATCAAGGTAACCATTATACATTTTTGATATAGAGATGATATCCATACCTATTATTTAGGAGGATATTTGAACACTTAATATCTCTATGCAAAAAGTTCTTCTTATGACAATAATCTAGACCTTCCATGAGCTGTCTCATAAATGACTTAATGTGATTTTCATTGAAATGAACCAATCCTGATTCCAGCAGTCCCATTAAGTCATGGTCCATGTACTCAAACACCAGATAAAATGCACCTAGGAATGAGAAAAAGCAGTACATTAATCACTTACTCTTGACCCTTTTCTACAGGTTTTACTTTCTACAGGTTAAACTAATGAGGTTTAACCTTCAAATGAAGTGCTACTTTGTCACCTGAAGGAATACCATTCAATTCCCTCTCAAAGTTTATTATCACTATACATATCCTAGGGAAATGTCTTGTAAAGAAAACTGTTAACGATAAAATTAAACTGCTGATATCTATATTACATAGCTTTTGGGTATAATGAATGTAAAATAAGTTAATGTTTTAGAGATCAAATTATTCCTCAGCAAATGATAAAAAAAAATCTATAGTTTATAAAAGAAATTAAGTTGTTAAAAGAAGCTCTTAATAAAAAGGAGCATAACGGGGGCCAGGGAGATGGCTCAGTGAAATAAGCGCTTCCCTGGCAAGCACAAGGGCCTGAGTTCAATCCCCGATTCTGCCAAAAAAAAAAAAAGAAAAAAAGCATAACAACCAGCTGTACTTTAGATGATTCCTGTTGCACTTCCAATAAATACATAATTTAATTGTTGTTCCATATCCAGGTTATTTGAAAACATAAGTTACAACTTCGGGGGCCGGGGAGATGGCTCAGTAGAATAAGCGCTTGCCTGGCAAGCGCAGAGGTCTGAGTAAAATCCCCGGTTCTGGGGGAAAAAAAATTATAACTTCATTTTATAAAACAAGTCTGCCTATAACAAAAAATCCAAAATAGCACATAGATGTTCACAACCACAAGCTAATCAACTATACTTTATTTTAAAGATGCTTATGAACAAAGTGAACCCAAAGGACTCTAAGAAAAATATCACATTTAGCAATGTAGAAGAGCTAACAAAACATACTATATCTATCTGTGAAAAGACAAAAATTCTGTAATGCCATGACAAAAAAAAAAATCATCTAAACATAGTTCATCATCGGTTCTGAATTAAAAAGAGTAATTACTAACTGCAAGTAAACTTGCAACAGGATTATTTCTGAATTGTTTATTGTGAAATCTCTCTGAAAGCAACAACAAATGTCATATTTAAGTAAGAAATTGCCAGGGGTTATATATAAGACAAAAATCATTATTACTATAATAAGTAAATGTAAAATAAGTTACTATTTTAGATATCAAACTATTCCTTTGATATAGAATTAAATATCAAATTATTCGGAAGACAATACTGAAAGACAAAAATGTACTTCTCTAGGTTTGACAGGTTATAATAACTATATTAGAGATAGATCAATATAAAAAAGCTAAAGGTTTCTTCATATGTGCATCAACAATTCACCAAAAAAAATTTAAGTGAGTCACCTGTTTAAAAACAAAGCTGCAAATGACTAGTAATGAACTTTAACAAGAAATATATTATAAAAATCTCAATAAAAGGACCAATGACTAGTTTGTCTCTTTTATTTGTGGAAGAGGCAATTTAACTTGAAGAAACCAATTTGCCAAGCCAAAACTTTCTAAGAATAAACACTTTCCTAGGGATACACATGACAGCAGAAAATAATATGCACCAGAAAATAATTCCCAAGTACATACTCAACAATTACGAAAAAAGAATTTAAGTTGAAGAAAAAACAGGCTAAATTAAATATAGGTAAAAGACAAAATACCAAGCTCAGAAATACATTTATAACATGTAACACATTAATATCCCTAACATAAAGAGGTCACTGCTCAGCACAGAGGCACACATCTCTAATCCTGGCTCTCGGGAGCACTACCAACACCTTCAAGGCCAGTCTTGACCACATATTGAATTCAAGGATAGCCTGAACTACAAAGTAAAAAACCCTGTCTCCATAAAAATAAATGGATACATAAAAAAAGAGGCCATATAAATCATGGCCCAAAAGACCAATCCTGTATCAGAAAATGAGAAAATGAAAACATGCAAAACGATGTCTATGTCCAAAAGACACATACAAGCTACTCTTGCCATTAAGCAAACATGCAAATCAAGGCAAAAATAAACCACTTGTGACTAAAAGGAAAACTGGCTGAAAAGATAGAACATGTTACTAATTTAAGTGTGAGGTACAGAGACACAATCACATACCAGTAGTAAATTCATAAAAATACAGTACTATGCTTGTATGTAGCAACTGCACTTAGCACAACAAAATCAAGGTTGTAAGGATTAGCTGTAAGCATGTTCAGTTAGGCTTCTAATAATAAAATGTGTCAAAGGACTGTCCTGCCACAACACTGTATAAGGTCAGACTTCTAAATTTCTGTGTAAAACTATGTAATTGTTTATTTCTATTTTTTAAATATTTTTTTCACATTCTGTAGGGATTTAAAGTTTAACATATCAATACTTGATGGAAAATACCTGTTCCATGTTATGTCTAAGATGTTTGATATTCAGACAGATAATGAGGTTAAGCTCAATTGTCTATGTTATAGGGTAATAATATCATTAAGCTTCTCTTCTAGAGGGTTAACAACTTAACTTTGCAGACCAAAAATTAGAGAAAAAGAAGGGCTGCAAGGACAGCCAACATTCTGGCCCTAGCCATTCAAGGTCAGTGAAGACTCAGGACATAGGTGAACCTGTACTGTAATATGTAACTCAGTTGTGTCCCAAATTTTCTGATCAAGAAGATTATGGGGCCACAGAGGAAAATGATAAAATGATGTATAATGTGCCTAAGGAGAGTCATCTGAAGAGAAAACATTCACAGAGAGCAAATTGGTCAAGCAATGGCCATGACTCATCCACATGGCTGACACTGACAAAGGATTTGCAAACTGTGGTACAGGGTTTCAGGCTAAATCCCGAGGGGATTTGAGACCTTATCAGATAGAAAAGATACATTTCTTGTTATATAGGTCTCGCTTTATCTTGGTCTTAACCATCCATCAGAAAAGTATAAAAATGAGGTATAAAAAGTAAAGCCATATTAATATGCTGAGCTGTAGAACAACTTCTGACATTGCCAGTCTTACAGATAACCCACTACTATTATGGACTACTGGATTATATTGGATTATTTTGCTGAATTAACACACCTATAATATTTAAATGGCAATGGAATATCCGTATCTGACAAAACTTTAAAAAAAAGGGAATATAAATGAAAGACCATTTTGTATCTGTATATACAAAACATTTAGGATAGATACACAGCTATGTTCTCTTAATTCAATGAGATTTGTACTAATAGTGTTTAGACCGGATATCATGTCTGCATCTTGTACTATGAATACTATGAAGACAACAATATGCAATGTATTAATTATTGTAACTGTCATAGTAACCTGTTTTGAAACTGTCCCATTGTTATTTATTTCTCAATAAAATTAATTTTAAAAAATTTTTAAAAATAATAAAATATGATTCATGCCTATAGTCACAAAACTCAGGGAAGCTCCCAATCTGGAGCTCAGCCTGGAAAACTACCAATTTAGGGAGAGGCTGGCTCCAAACATGAATGAATGAATCAATGAATCAATCAATCAATCAATAAACACATGCATGCATGCATGCATGCATGTATATCATCTTGTGTGAATGCTCTGGGTTCACTTCCCAAAACCACAATATATACACAAACATTTAAAACATGAAACACAGAGATTGGCTCAATGGAATAAGCGCTTCCCTGACAAGCGCAAAGGCCTGAGTTCACTCCCCAGTTCCACCAAAAAAAAATACAATAAAATAAAATAAAAAATACTACATGAAACACAGAAAAAGCTCACTGTGGTACATCTGTACCATTCTGAAACATTGACAAACACTGTAGAAGTGTTGATATGGACATGTACTGATGATGCTGAATAAAAGTACTTTGGATTGGTGGCATCACAAAACACAAACATTGAGTACTGCACAGTACAAGAAAGTAGTTTCGTAAATTGCCATGAAGTTTTAAAAGTAAGGCTAGTTTAAAAATACTATGTATAAAATACTGGATTTTGAAGACAGTACAAAATAAAAGAATGTAAGACATCTGAGTAATATTTTACACTGATTACACAGTGAAATGAACTACTAGACTATCAGGCAAAACAAAGTGTATACTGTTAAAATAAATATCTGCTTTTTTCTTAATGAGGCTATCAAAGTATTGTAAATTAAAATAGAGTGGTTCATATTCTGTCTGTACTAAAGACTGAATTATAGGTGTAAGAATGAAATGGGGAGGGTCAGGGTTACAGCTCAGCTGCACCACTGGCTAACTGGAAAGCCTAAGATCCCGAGTTCAATTCCCAGTACCAAAAGCACAAACAAGAATGAAATAGCGGGTGGGGGTATAACTCAGTGGCACAACACCTGCCTGGCAAGCATGAGGTCCTTCATTCAAGTTTTTGATCCCCAGTACCAAAAACTTGAATGAAAAAGGACAGATAAAACTACCTCTAAATGCAGTGTTTCTCAAACCATGAACATTCAACAAAAAACTTGGCATGGACAGTAGCACAATTTAGAAAATTAACATATACAATAACCATCAACATTATTATTATTTGAAAAGTAAAACAGAACTCATTTATAACTGTTAACCAAATTTTTAAAAATATTCACGATGTATACAAAACACTTTGATGATAAACATTCTTACAAACAGAAAAGTACACATGAACAAATATAGGAAAGCGTCACAGGAAAAAATGTTAATAAACCTATATTAATTCATATATTAAACACAAGCCCTATTTATAAAATATGAGTAAGTTATTCTACATTTTCTATGCAAATAGAAAATTAGGTAGAAGAGTAATAGAAACATCTAGAAAGAAAGGGAAATGGATACCAGTTCTACTTGATACTTATAAAGAATAAATTTTACAACATTAAAGAATAAATTTTACAAGTAAAAAGTGTGACATTGATAAAAGAACATGACAAAAACATAAAATCCAGAAACATACTTCAAAAACATAAAGTAACTTACTATATGATAAAGATGGAATATTGATTCAGGGGTGAAAACATGGACTTAATTACTGAACACCCAGACATATTTACCAGCATAAAA